CAAATCACTCTATAAAAAGGATACCTGCACACGTATGTTTATCGCAGCGTTGTTTCACAATAGCAAGAACCTGGAAACAACCATGCTGCCCATCAAAAGAGGACTGGATTAAAAAAATGTGGTACATATACACGATGGAATACTACGCAGCCATAAAAAAGAACAAAATCATGAATTTCGCAGCAACCTGGATGGAACTAGAGTCTATAATACTGGGTGACCTCACACAGAAACAAAGATCAGAATATCACATGTTCTCACTCATATAATGGACCTTGAACATCCAATGTAATACTATAAGAAAATGACTGACGGTACTAGGAAACTATGGGGGGGAGGGAGATGGGATTAACAGTAGCAAATATCGGTCTGGGGCTGGGAAAACACCTCTTATCAACAGGGTGTCTGAATGAAACGTAATTGTACACCTAACCCTTAACTGTACCTCACAAAACTATAATAAAAATACTGATTAATTATTAAAAAAAAAAATGATAAGATTTGTTGAATTCCATGTTGTTTTTGAAGCAATTTAAAAGATAAATAATTTAAGTATTTGAACTATTTGCAAATCACATCCAAAATAAGTGACACTCTTTTGTAGGATTCCAAATGTTATTCAAAACAACCCACTATTACTGAGAATGAAAATTATCCTTTTCAAACTAACACAAAAGTATTTTCATTAAGATTAGTAATATGTTTTGAGAAAAAAGAAAAATTCATAACAGTAATAACCTAGTTAACTATCCCCTAGGGTTTCCCTTGGAAATTAGCATGTTTTTCACCCTTCACTTACTACGTCCCCAAAGACATAAGAGTGCAGGTAAAATCCCTTGGGCAATTGAAAACAGTTTCTTCATTGGTAAGTAGCTTTTGCTGTCTTGAAATAGTGCAAAGAAAATCAGTTTTTGTGGTTCTGAGAGCAAGAACCACTGGTTTGTGTTCAAACACTTGAGAAGGTGCATTTATTACTTTGTATTGTACCCAGGAGGTAATACATCTTGTGTCATCCTTTCTGATATAGCATCTTCAGAGATCTAAAACATCTTTTGCTTAAACAAGTTTTTCCAAATGACAAAAGAACTGAAGCATGACTGTCTACCAGATAATTTGAATTCATTTATTTTATAATCTAAGATTGTTTTGTTGTATGTTTAGGAATAATTTAGTGAATCATAGTATTTTGATTCAATCTTTTTGTTAATCCTCTTTTAAAACAAGAATCTAAGATTCATTATCTTTTCCCACTTCTACCTTCATGCCTCTTCTCTTCTTTTTAATGCTTCTCTAAACAGAATTTTAGGCTATCAGAAGGAATGATGAAGGTAAAGTTTTCAACAGTACACTCCTTACTTTTTAACAAAAATTTGTGAGCCATTTATTTCTCCCATCAACAAATCCAGATACCTCAGCCTGTCTGAGAAGGACCACACTATTAATATTCTGATCATCTTCATGTCATTTTCTCATGGTGGCTTACTTTGAACACACCTGAATTTAACCACACTTGTCAACTACTAACTGAATGAGCTTGAGATATTACTCTAAGCATCAATGTTCTTACCCAAAATAAGGAATTAATAATAAAAATCTGGCTTACCAGCTGGGCACAGAGACTCACAGCACTTTGGAAGGCAGAAGCAATATTATTCTGATCATCTTCATGTCATTTTCTCATGATGCCTTACTTTGAACATACCTGGATCTGGCTTACAAGCTGGGCACAGAGACTCACAGCACTTTGGAAGGCAGAAGCGATAATATTCTGATCATCTTCACGACATTTTCTCATGGTGCCTTACTTTGAACACACCTGAATTTAACCATACTTGTCAACTACTAACTGAACGAGCTTGGGATATTACTCTAAGCATCAATGCTCTTACCCAAAATAAGGAATTAATAATAAAAATCTGGCTTACAAGCTGGCACAGAGACTCACAGCACTTTGGAAGGCAGAAGCGAGAGAAATGCCTGAGCCCAGGAATTCAAAACCAGCCTAGGCAACTTGGTAAAACCTTGTCTCCACGATAAAAATTTTGGAAAAAAAAGCCAGATATGGTGGCATACACCCATACTTCCACCTAGTTGGAAGACTGAAGTGGAAGGATCAACCTAATCCAACAGGTCAAGACTGCAATGGCTATAAATAAGCTACTGTACTTCAGCCTAGGTGACATAGTGAGACTCCTACTCAAAAGAAAAAGAAAGAAATCTGGTTTACAGAGAACTAATTTAACACAACCTTTAGCGTCAGGATCTTAGGTTTCTTTCTTGTTTCCATCAAATCTTAAACCTCAAATCTTGGTTTCCTAGTTCCCCTCATACGTAAGAAAAAATGATAATAATGATAGTAAATCTATGGTAATTTTGTTAGTTTTGGTAACAATTAAATGAGTTATAAGGTAAGTTTTAAGAATATTGCATTACACATAACAGACATTATATAAGTGACAGATATTGTTAATAAAATTTTGACAGCTCTAGTTAGAGTTTAAAAATTAGAGACAGTAGTGTAGCAATTGAAATCAACATTTAATGTTTATCTACTGTATATGAGTCTCTCTTAAGAACAGCATATTAATCTACCTGGGGAAGAGGGGGCACATCTCATTAACAAGGGAACCTGCATAATGAGCATTTGTATACCTAACCCTGAATTGTACCACTGATCTTTAAAATAAAAATAAAAAGATATCTAGATAATAAATAGATAGCTTATTTTCCTAATTAACCCATTAAAAAGCACTATGACGTATTTGTTTTCTTTATTATACACTAAGATAATATATATTAAATTTTATAAAGGCACTCAGTGCACATGCAGCCAGAATGGTACACTAGCTAAATTCTTACTAACTGGATAGCAATGCCTTATCTTTTTCACATATCTTGATTACTGTGAAAGCAGATAAGTATAAATTAACCTCTGTCCTATTGTAGTGATGCATTCCACTCACACTCTTTGAGAGGACAACACAAGATACCATTTGAGCAAGTGATCAACTCTTCTGAGTATCAGTAGTCTTTTCTGTGTCTATAACATATTGATTAAAAGAGATAAGTACAGTTTTTAACATCGTCATAATATATATTATGCAAATGAGAGAGTGACTCAGATATTTGTACTTCCCTTCCTGCCCGCTCAACATGATCCATAGGTATCAGAAACTTTGCTTATTTATCTGTCTAATATTTCCAAATCCATCCTTACAGTTCAAGTTAAATATCTTGTAATTTAAAGTCAAGTTAAAATTCCTTAAACTTCTGAGCCTATTTTGAGACCCGAGAAGCAGTGTTTGATGGATTTCTCAGATTCTCAGGCCCTGTATTACATGACCGCAAAATGAATACAACTACTTAGGTTTGCTCATATTGTTCAATCACTGAAGATGTCATACATAGTAATTTTATTTAGCCGGGCTCGGTGGCTCAGACTGTAATCCCACACCTTGGGAGGCTGAGGTGAGTGGATTGCCTGAGCCCGCAGGTTCGAGACCCGCCTGGGCAACTTGGTGAGACCTCATCTCTACAATAAATCAAAAAATTAGCCGGGTGTGGTCGCGCGCGCCTGTACTTCCAGTTACTTGGAAAGCTGAGGCAGAAGGATTGTCGGAGCCCAGCAGGCCGAGGCTGCGGTGGCTGGGAGCAGTCATTGCACTCTAGTCTGGGCGACAGAGTGAGACTCCAACTAAAAAAAAAAAAAGTAATTTTACTTAATTGGAAGTTAACTTATAATTGGAAGTTAATTTATAACTAAACATTTTGCCTAATTTACTCAGTCAGTTCATTAATGTTCACTGAACATTTCCTAGAAGCCAAGGGTTATGATAAATGTCAGAAGCATAGAAGCAAATGATTACCCAATTTTATCAACTTGGTTTATTATGTAAACAGAATTTATGGAATTACTCCAAATGTTGCCCTGTCAAAAATATACACACAGTATACTAATATGTGTTTATATCTTACTAAATCTTTTGTGTTATAGTAAATGATAATAAGAAAAATAACAATAATAATAAACTAGTATGTTTTATTACATTAATAACTCCCACTCTGTCTACTCAAATCCTGGGCAAAAATTCCCATTCCAATAATGACTCTATAGGTCAATTCATTTTTAATACTATACATATTTTCTTTATGCACTCTTCAGACTCTTCGTTAATTCATTACTTCCTTTAGAGCTCTCAGCCAACTATTGGGTTATATTTTGGACACAAAAATGGTAAGCAAAATCAGAAAGAATTCCTATACACAAGAAGTCAACTGGCTAATGCAAAAAAACCTAATTAACCAAAAAAATTAAGATAAAATTTGCAACCATGAAATATGATACTAAATTTCTGAAGTGTAACTCTCAGTTCAAAGAAGTTCAAGCTTAGTTTCTTTGTTTCATTGCCTATTTTGTTTTTCAAGCAAAATAATCTTAATTGTATCTAACTATTTTTTTTACCCATATCACATTTTAGGATGTTAAAATTCTCATAAAAGAAAAAGACACAAGAAATGGAATTCATAGTTGGAAACTACACCTTGGTGACTAAGTTTATTCTCTTGGGGTTTCCAACTTGCCCTGAACTGCAGATTGTCCTTTTTCTTGCATTTCTGATATTGTATTGAATAATTTTAATTGGTAACATTGGATTGATACTGTTAATCAGGATTGATCCTCACCTTCAAACTCCCATGTATTTTTTTCTTAGCAACCTATCTTTTGTAGACCTTTACTATTCCTCAGTCATTGTTCTTAAAATGCTGGTCAATTTCCTCTCAGAAAACAAATCTATTTCCTATTATGGGTGTGCCCTGCATTTTTTTTTTTTATTTTTGTATATTTGCAGATACAAAATCTTTCATCTTGGCTACCTTGACATATGATCACTATGTTGCCATTTGTAACCCTTTACTGTATACAGTTGTGATGTCTTGAGACATTTGCATATGGCTGATTGTCTTGTCATACATTGGAGGCAACGTGAGTTCCTGGTTTACATGTCATTTGCCTTTATTCTGAAATACTGTGACAAAAATATTATTAATCATTTTTTCTGTGATCTCCTTCCCTTGCTTAAGCTATCCTGCACAGATATGTCAATTAATCAGTGGCTCCTCTCCACATATGGCAGCTCAGTGGAAGTTATCTGTTTTATTATCATCATCATCTCCTACTTTTTCATTCTCCTCTCAGTCTTGAAGATCCGCTGTGCCAGTGGGAGGACGAAAGCCTTCTCTACTTGTGCCTCTCACCTGACTTCTGTGACCATCTATCAGGGGACGCTTCTCTTCATTTACTCACAGCCCAGCTACCTGTACTCCCCCAACACTGATAAAATTATCTCAGTGTTTTACACTATTTTTATTCCAGTACTGAAACCACTGATTCATAGTTTGAGAAATAAAGATGGAAAAGATGCAGTTAAAAAAGTTTTAAGATCAAAGATAGATTCTCCCTGAAATATAATGTTCCTAGATTCATCTAATTTTTCAGTTACAAACTCCAATTGGCAGCTTGCAACAACTTCACCAGCACACACAGCTTCTTACATCTTACATTGGGATTTTTTATAAAACATATTTTTAACACAACCAAGTAAGTTTCATAATCTCAAGATATAAGTAAACATTTAAAAACTTTAAAGTTGCTGCTAAATATTACTCATACTACTGTTTATTGCTTACTAGTTTGAGATTTGTGTAACAGTAAATTGTATGATATCATTTTAAGAAATATATTATAGCTAAATACCTCAAGAAAGTGTGCATGAGTGCGAATGTGTGTGTAGAATATCTCAATTACAAGAGCAAATTACTGAGTAGTTATATAAAAGAATAAACCAGATTGCCATGGTTTATACGCTAGGTTGGTATCTTGCTAGTAAGTGGCACCTTGGACAATTGAATTTTTCTATACACCAATAGACTCAATTGACCTATCTGCAAAATGAGGAGAATATAGTACCTACATCACTGATTTTTGGATAGTTCATAGAGTTAATGTAGTTAAGTGCTAAGAATAATGCCTGGACATTTTAAAGCATTTAGATATTTGCTGTATGTTTATATAGTAGCTCACATTTATTAAAATGTGTGTTATACAATAAGATGTTAAGAGGCAGGAAAGAAGAAATACAAAACCATTTTTAAGTGCAGACTAATAATGTGTTGATAATTTTCTACACCTAATATACTTCAAAGTAATTTGTAAACTTACTCTAATTAGTAGGTGAGCAAAATAGGTTAGTTGCAATGCAAAACACTTGTTTTTCTCTCTATCTCTAATTTTTTACTAATATACCAATGTATTAACAAAGTATTGTTAAACATGTGGAATATTTTCTTCTCTGGCATCTCAGAAACAGAATGAGCTAAGTATTTTATTACCTGATCCTACCTGTATCCTCATGGGGAGATCAACCCAATGCTGCGGATGAACACGTAGCAGGAGACATGCATTTGAAACCAAAATTGGAAGATATGTAAGAGGATATGTAGTATTTCAAAATGTATTTCTTTAGATTACTTTTTTCTTTAATTAATTATTATTATATGATAATAAATATTTACAAGGTATGACCTGGAAATATTAAATTTTAAAAATATGCAAGCATACTGTCATTTTATTATACTTTATTTCACTTCACAGATAATCATATTTTAGTGAATTGAAGACTTTTGACAACTCTGGATAAAATAGAGAAGAAGAGGGGTGTGACCAATGATTTATATATAGTTGTTGTCTAGAGAAGAAACAAAATAGGTATCTGTTTTTTGTGACCACTTTTTTTTTTTTACTTAAATGGAACAACTTATCTTGGATGACAGCACATCCATTATAGCATAGTTTAATGAATATTTTAAACCCAGGGTTGAGTCCTACTACTTAGACAAAAAGATTCATTTTAAAACATCACAGCTCATTGATAATGCACATGGTCATCCAAAATTCTGATAGAGATGTCAAAGATTAATATTGTTTTCATGTGTACTAAGATATCATGCATTCTGCAGTCCATGAATCAGAGAGTAATTTTGACATTCAAAATTACTTTTGTATTATAAAAAAAATTAGTAAGCTTATAGCTGCCCTAGATAGTGGTTTCTTGATATATCCAGACAAAGTCAACTTGAAGTCTGGAAAGCATTCCCTTTCTTGATGCCATTAAGACCATTTGTGATTCATGGGAAGTGGTCAAAATATCAGTTAGACAGGAGTTTGGGAGATGTTGATTATAGCCTTCATGAATGCCTTTGGAGGGTTCAAGACTGAAGATATAGTAAAAATATCAAGAGAAGTAGAATTAAAGTTAAGTTTGAAAGTGTGACAGAAGCTGGGCTCGTTGGCTCAGCCTGTAATCCTGCGCCTTGGGAGGCTGAGGTGAGTGGATTGCCTGAGCCCGAGGGTTCGAGACCCGCCTGAGCAACTTGGTGAGCCCTCATCTCTACAATAAATTAAAAAAAAAATTAGCCGGGTGTGGCAGCGTGCTCATGTAATTCCGGCTACTCGAAAGGCTGAGGTGGAAGGATTGTCGGAGCCCAGCAGGTTGAGGCTGTGGTGGCCAGGAGCGGCCATTGCACTCCGGTCTGGGTGACAGAATGAGACTCCAACTCAAAAAAAAAAAAGAAAAGAAAAGAAAGTGTGACAGAATGGCTGCAATCTCATGGTAAAACTCTAATGGGTGACTAGGTGTGTCTTATGGGTGAACAAAAAAAAGTGGTTTCTTGTTATAAAATCTATACCTGGTGAATATCCTATGAATATTTTTTTGAAAGGACAATGAAGAATTTAGAATATTCCATAAGCTTAGTTGATAAAGCAGCAGCGGAGTTTGAGAGAAGTGACTCCTATTTTAAAAGAAGTCCTACTGTAAGTAAAATTTTATCAAACAACAAAGCATCTGAAAATAAGTTTTTATGAGTCAATGTGATCTATTTTATTGTTGTCTTATTCTTTAAAATCTCCCACAGACACTTCACCTTTAGCATTCACAACCGTGATTAATCCCCTGCCATCCATCACCAAATATCCATGTACTCTTTCTTTGAAAAACCCACAATATGTACTCAAAATATTTTATTCCATCAGTTTTAAATTCCACTGAGAATCTTTGTTTGGGTTTTTGACCAACAATTCTTCTCATGAGTATTTGTTTTCACTTGATAGGAAGAAAACCCACTCACAACTGCATAGGCACACCCACACATTATAATATTAATTATGTTTCAGATATACTTAGACAGGGTTTATTTAGTTAAGGTTTAAAGAATCATACAACAGAGATTGTTTACAGTGTATCTGAACACAGCTTTTTATACCCTTAAGTTCTGAATCTATGCAAACATGTTTGTGTTAACTACTATATTAGGTGCATCAAGCTGCATATGGAAGTTTTATTTTTGTCCACCACTGCTGTTTGATACTTTATAATTACATACCAAATGTTATATCACTTGTGGAAAAAAAACTGTTTTCACGTAGGCGGATCATTAAAATTAGAGTGTGTCCGTGGTTTTTTGAGGTCCACAGCTGAGTTCAATGCACAAGTTGGAGTAGCATTTAGATAGATGCAACCTTGATTCACCTGCACCTACCTTCTAAAAGCTGCTATCATCTACTGATCTTTCCAGATGGCCTTATTCCTCATTCAACAGTGAGCACTCACTCCCCAGACATTTGTTATATTCCCTTAGTTGTAAGGTAACTAGCAATTTCCATTTTAGGCCCTGTACAATCATACTTTTTCTGCAGCCAACTACTTACCATAATTTTACCAAGGCCTTCCCCTTTCATCTTTGCTAAAGGCTTTGTGGTCCCCGTGCTGTTATAGAAAATTGCCTAACCCTCATTTCAGTATAGAAGCAGAATATTATAAGTATCATGGAAATAGGTTATTTGTATCTAAACCTTATGCAAGTACCTATTTTGACTAATTCTATCCTGGAAGGAGATTTGGTAAATGTAGCTCCTAGCCATAATCATGTTGACAGCACTATCTCTAACAATCTGCCCTTTTCAACTTTCCATTCATATACATGTATTTTAAACATATTTAACTTTCAAGTAAAGATAATAGCAAGAATATACTTACTTCTAACAGATGTATACATGCAATGGGAAAAAATATACAAAGTCTTTTAAATAATTTTATCCAACAGGGATGATTTAGGACTATTATAGCAAGGTCACACAATACCTCTGATATCCTACAACTTGTTAAAATTTTGAGACAGAAGTATAAATATTTTTTACCATTCCTTGTGTTAGAAAGGAGGTAAATGGGAGAAATATTGGATAGCATATTTACAATAATATATTGAAGAAAAGGAAAAATACACTTTATAAGTACTAATGTAATGTAGTCCCCTCTTATGTATGGAGGATGCATTCCAAGAAGTCCATTGGATTCCTGAAACAGTACATAACACCAGACTATATATGTACTAGTTTTTATCTAAAGCATGTGCCTTCTGTACACCTCAAGGAACTAAAAAAAAGTGTAAACCCAGATATAGTAAAAAGAAAGAAATAACAATAATCAGAAAAAAATAAGTAGAAGGAGACTAGAAAATAAAAATGATCAGCACTGAAAGATGACTTTTGAAAAGATAAAACAATTGGCCAACTTTTGTTAGAATTGGGAAAAAAGACTTAAAGAAGATTAGAAATGAAAGTGGAGACACTGCAACTGATACAACAGAAATACAAAGAGTAATGAGACTATTATGGACACATATAGGCCAACAAATCGGATACCTTAAAAGAAATGGATAAATTTCTAGATACATACAATCTATAAAGACCAAATTATTAGGAAATAGAACACAAATCACTCTATAAAAAAGATACCTGCACACGTATGTTTATCGCAGCATTGTTCACAATAGCAAGAACCTGGAAACAACCATGCTGCCCATCAAAAGAGGACTGGATTTAAAAAATGTGGTACATATACACGATGGAATACTACGCAGCCATAAAAAAGAACAAAATCATGAATTTCGCTGCAACCTGGATGGAACTAGAGTCTATAATACTGAGTGACCTCTCACAAAAACAAAAATCCAAATATCACATGTTCTCACTCATATAATGGACCTTGAACAGCCAATGCAATACTATGAGAAAATGACTGATGGTACTGGGAAACTATGGGGGGGAGGGGGATGGGATTAACAGTAGCAAATATCTGTCGGGGGTTGGGAAAACACTTCTTATCTACAGGGTGCCTGAATGAAACGTCATTGTACACCTAACCCTTAACTGTACCCCACAAAACCATAATAAAAAATACTGATTAATGAAAAAAAAAGAAAATCTGAACAGTTTGAGAGTATGCAAGATGCTCAAAACAATAATAAGTAATATGCCTTCAAATCAGCCCACTACCTGATTGCTTTATGACTGAATTCTACTAAACATTAAGAAAAATAAGTACCAGTTCTTCTCCAATAATTTC